CTCCTCCTCCTCCTCATCATCATCATCACCGCAATATTAACTATCACCGTAATCAGGCTGTCTTTGTTTTCATTAACACCCTGATAAAGTGCTCTAACTGTGAAGCCCAGCAGCAGCAGCAGCAGCAGCAGCAGCAGGAGGAGCAGCAGCGGGCCGGTGGAACCACCTGTGAGGGGAGTGTGTGACGTCTCCTCCTCTCAGGTTTCTGCACTTTCTGCTGTAATGACTTTTACACAGAACTCGCTGCATGTTCCTGTTGTTGTTGCATGAATGGAGGCAGCCCAGAGTGTAATGCCTTCGAGACCCACGGTACTGGCTGGCGTAATTAGCCCCCCGCGTGTTTGTGCCCCCCCCCAGCTCCACCTCACCTGCCGCACCCTCTCCACCTATTTCACATCAAGTCGAGTCTTTGTTGTCTGCACTTAGATTCGAAAATTTATCAGATATTGATGTGGGGAAAAAAATCTAATTTACATAAAACAGTGACTCAACATGTGGGTGAACTGAAGTGTCCTGATTAAATACCAGAATATTTCATCTAGCCTGAATTCACATAATGACAAAACGACAAACGTTAAAATCCTTAGCATAATTAACAAGATCTGAAATTATCAGTCAAAAATAATTAATTAATAATTAATGATAATTTGTACTATATTGATCCCATACTTGTGTTAGCAGCAGATATGCTGTTAACAGGCTGCCCCCAGCAGGCGCCAAGCATGTGGTTCCTCTGGGACTCGAACCCAGCACTTTCTGCAGGCATGCTAACCGCTACACTATAGAGCCGACAACACTATGGAACCAACAACCGACAAATACAACCATATGTATGAATACATACATATAAATACATATACACATACATGAGTATATGTATAGCTATATATATATATATACACACACTCACATATATATAAATATATTTATATGAACAGCTTTTTATATTAATGTAATTGATTCAAAGAAATTTACAATTTGGTTGGAGCTCACATGTTGATGTAACAGATTTTAAAGAAACTTATTCTGGGTTACCAGGTTTTGATTTTTTAACCTTTTATTTAAAGATGACCAGAGGAAGTGGAGGACAGAGCGGAGGATGATGTCGTACGACGTCTTTAATATCAGATCAATATCAGGATTCTAAATGTGACGTTTTTTCAGTATGTCTCCTTTACATTTCGGACTGGTTTCCTGGGAAAACTGGGCAGAAAGACTGACTGATCTGAAAATGATCTCAACATTTTGTCTTGTCCCTGTTTGTTCTATCTGTTCTATCTCTATCTCCACAGCCACTTTCCCCTTTTTTGTATTTTGAAAATATTTTTTCTGCATCATATGTTCCAAAAACTATAATCTCAGTCTGGTTTCCTAATTGCCATAAGTACACATTAGAAGCTTCTTAATATTTGTTATAGGACTCATTCCCATTACAGAGAAAATATCACAGAAGGCTGGAGACGACCTCCTGTCGTGCTGATCCGGGGCCTCCATCAGTATCTTTGACACCAGTAAATGAAATTAGGAAGACCCTGCTCTTCATCTGAGTGCAAAATGTTCAATCACACAGTAGCTAAATATACTAATTTGGAATGGAACACAGGCCTATAATTATGCTGTATCTGGAATTTATCTTCCCATTTAAGCGAGGACATATGAATTTCCTCTTCTTTTCTCTAGACATCAAACTGTTTCAGATCCCTGCAGTGACTGAATGACATTTAATTAGGGAAGAGTCATCGTTTCACTTAACGGCTTTTTTTCTTCTTCTCCTCCTTTTTGGCCTTTAACAAAATATTGGCTCAGGTCGAATAATCAAACAAGAGGAATTAAAGAAGCTAAGTTATTCCTGGCTTAAAAAAAAAAAGATGAATTTTTTCCACACGTTTCACAGCAAATTATAGGCAAAATGCATGTCCCCCCCTCCCAGATAAATTTGGACCTCTGCTGCAGATAAGGAGGCGTTCCTGAGCAGGTGCAGCGCGGGCTGCTGTTAAAGGAAGACGTCGGAGCAATAATGAGTATATTCAACCTCTGCAAGGTGTCTTGTATCTGGGTAAACACAGATAGCAGACAGTCTACAGAGGTTATCAGCGGAGCAGCCCTTCCCCAAACACACACTGACTGCACCCCCAAGGCTAACAAACAAACAAAGCATTAAAAATGTACAAGGCTTATTCATAAAATGGATTGATTTGCCCCGTTTATTACTATCAAAGGGGGGATTCCGCTGCTTTTTGTGGTTTTATGACTCATTAATGCTTCCTAGGCTGTAAACAAACGTCTTCTTTGGCTCCTTCCCTGCATCCTCCTAGCTTTGGTGTAGCTACGCTTTTACCTTAAACACAGTGTCTGCACATGTAGAGGTTTTCATTCTACATAAATCACATTAAAAAGATCTGTTTCCTTCAGGAATTAACTGGTGAGGGGGGTTATTTCTGTGAAGAAAGCAATGATCTTGACCCAGTGCTGTGGGCCAGATGGTGAGATGTTTGCTTGAACAGCAGGCACAGGACACTAATGTCGCTAAACTGGAGCTGAGGGGTGTGTGTGTGTTTGTGTGAATTCTAAAAAAAAAAAAAAAAAGTCAGTACAAGTGTCCACATTCAGATTATTTCCCTTCATTTTCTGAGAGTTTTAAAAACAAGCTCACAAATGACATCATTTTTGAATTTGGAATATTTATTTTTTAGAACTCTGACCCTTATCTAGGACTTTGGTTTGTGATTTGAAAATTGTATATTATATTTTTCCTGACTTTGGAATATTTTCCCAGAATGCCGTTGTTTATTACCTAAAAACACTTGACTGACGTTTTTAGAAATGAACTTGAATCTGAAAATTCTTCATTGATAATTAAAATACTGACCATCTAGAAATTATGTCTTTAATTTCATTTCATTGTTATCCTGGTAATTTTTTTAGCATGACATTTTAACTTTAATCCCTGAAATACACACGTGTTGCACACACAGGATTTTTCTTTCTCCTGAATTCTTACTTTGATCTCAAATCTCAGACTTTAATCTGCGTTCCTCCTCGGAGTTAGTCAAACCTATGAAAAGATGGGTGTCCTACAGGAACAACAGCCACTTTAAAGTCAAGTCAAAGAACAATATTATCTCTACAAAAAACCAATGATCTTGACCCAGTGCTGTGGCCCAGATGGTGAGCTGTATGTCTGAACAGCAGGCACAGGAACACTAATGTTCATAAACTGGAGCTCTCAGAGTGAGTGTGTGTGTGTGTGTGTGTGTGTGTGTTTGCAAAAAGACAGAGGGAAGGAGGGGAGAAGAGAGGGAGAGAGCTAGAGAGTGAGAGCCAGAGGAAAAAGAGAGAGAGATTTATTGTCTCATCTGAGCCCCTGTACCTTGTATTGTCCTTTCAGCATCTGTTCTTCCACTGCTGCGGTCACTCTCCATCTCAGGGGTCAGAGAGTCTAAGAGAAGAGAAAGGATCACCGTCGTTAAACATCCCTGACATCCAGCTATCACCACACTGCTGCTGCTGCTGCTGCTGCTGCTGCTGCTGCTGCTGCTGCTGCTGCAGAGCATTGTACATTCAAAACAACAACAGCCTTAGCCTTACAGCTACAGCTCTTTCCCCAGTGTGTGCACTGAAAGAACAGCGTGATTAACAAGACGCCAGACTTGGACATAACGATCCACTAAAGGTGACCCACCGTGAAGAAACATAGAAATGTAGAAACGTGCCGTTTGTTAAAGGTGTAAACAATAAAAGACACCCAGTCAAAGGGAATGTGTTTGTTTTTCCAAGTGCGTTCCGTGTGTCTGGGTGTAAATTTCACCAGTGGAAAATGGCAGCAGTTAAATCCAAAACAAGGAGAGGCTACAGGAGCAGGAGTCTGTTAGATACAGATCTATGTCTTCAATTAGAATTTCAGGCCAGAAACCTTTTGATTTTCCTGGTTGTCAAAATTATCTTTTGCATATTTACATTTAACTGATGTCATGATGTCATCACCAGGCCGATGCCTGTCAGCCCCGGCTGCATGTCCTTGTATTGTAACTGTTTCAACCAAATCCACTACAAACCTGATGAACTAACCAACGTTACCTGTTCATAGATCCTTCTGAAGGAAACACAGAGACAGTTACTTCCTCTGATTATTTAACCTTTAACCTTTACACTTTAATTTGAATATATTTTCCTTTTAGCCCCACCACATATATGCAAAAAGAGATTAACAACATATTTACGTGAATTAAAAGTTTTATAAAAATTGACTTTCTTTTTAGAATGTGACTTGATAAAAGTTCCTTATTGTTGAATGGGACGTATGTTAAATAATGAATAAGTATTTCAGAGGGAGTCCAAAACAAGTCCATGTCACTGAGTAGGCCGTGGTCCATAGTTGGTCAGGAAATGTGGTTTGAGTCCCACTCAGATTTATAAAAGTGGGTCAAATGTGTTCATTCAGATCAACTGTTCAGTAGGAAGCCAAAAAATGTCCTAGGTTTAAAGTCCAAGTCAGTGTAACAACTGCTAGCATTAGCAGAAAGTTAATGATGTTAACACTGTGGCTAAGGCTCTGATTGAATCTGTTTCTTTTTTATTCCCTAGAGATTGACACTGGTCTGGAACATTCATCCACGAGACACTGACAGACGTGGACAGTGAATAAAAATGGACGGTGTCTCACTGTGAAGCGTCTGACCGTTGAGTGAACGCATGCTGTCGTTGGGCGAGGGCTGCTTCAGGCTCTGCTCCACCTGCTCTCTCCTCTTCGACTCGTACTCCAGAGCTTCCTGCAGTTTCCTCTTGGCCTTCTTCTCCTTCTTCAGACGCTTCTGAATAATCGCTGCCATGTGGAAAGATCACAGTCCAATCAGCTGACACGCATTTTAGATTTCACAACGTAGTTATCACTTTGTGGTGGGAAAGAAATGCTAATCACCGCATTAAAAATAGAGGGAAATCAAACATAAAGCTGTTATTTAAAAGGCCAAATCATTAAAAACCTAAATATTTCATGGTATATGAAGATCTCTGCCCCTAATAGAAAATCTTAGCAAATACCGACTGTGGCTTTGCACACTGCTGGAGGGAATTAAAGGGAATTGAAAAATTTATTGGGATATTTTTCATGAATTTTTCTCATTAAACACAAACGGCACAGTTAGCCTACGAAGCTGATGCATTTAACATGAGACGGGGAGTGAATTTCTCTAAGTGAATGTGTATTTCCAATTATGTTAACTGACTATTAGGAGGAAAACTAAGTGCTGAGCAGATTATGTACAATCAATGAAATGCAGTGACTCCATTTACCATGTGAGGCTGTGTGTGTTTAAATTCTGAAACAATTGTTTTAACACCCCCCCCCCCCCACCCACCCACCCCCCCCCACACAAGCCCACCACAAACATATAATTCATTGGATGGTATCCATCATCATCATCATCATCAACATCATCATCATCAGGCAGTACCTCTGTTCTTCTGCTCCATGGCGAGCTGCTTCTCCAGAGTCTCCCTGAGCTCCTTCTCTCTGAACAACTCCATCTTCAGCTCCGTCTTCTCCAGCTGCACCTGCTTCTCCTGGGCCCGAGCGTTGTCAATCGCCACTTTGAGCAGGCCCTGTGCGATCACATGTAAACACAAATGAAAAGAGACTTGACGTAAAGTCATTTTGTCTTTAAGATATAAATGAAAGAAAAGAAAAAAAACACAGTTGGGTTTTTAGCTCTGACTGGAGCTGTAAAAGGGTGTCAGAGTGAGTGACTTGTCATGTGAGGTTGATCTAGGTCTACTGTACTGTGGGTTTCATTAGCAAGTTAGCGGGGCATAACCATGAACTGTATAAAATGACTAGACAGAGGCATTAATCAACCCCCACCCCCCCCCCCCCCCCCAACCTCCTCATAAACTTTAAATGGCCTCCCTGGGGCATCCCTGTCGTACATACGTTTCATTGTGAAAAACATCCTATATGTATCAGTATGAAACCTGGGCCAGTTTAGTTGAACATAACACTGATGAACTCAGAAATTGAATAAAGACACTCATAAAGGTCAGTTTTAATAGCAATAATGCTTAAAAAGGCAATTTTTTATACTGTAGTAGGTCAACATGGAAGAAGAGAGGAAATAGCTCTACGTTTTTACAGTAAAACTGTTAGCATTGTACTCTGAAAGTATGTCACAGCACTTCCCTGTTCTCCCTATAGTAAAGCAGCAGAGGGGTCTAAGTTTACTGGTACCAGCGCTTGTTATTAGTACAAGTACCAAACATCACATCCAGTGG